ATATTCCTTTTCATTACTATTATTACTATATTTATTATTATTGTTAGTTATTATATTTTAGTTTAGTTTAGGTATTAAACTGTTCTTATCTCAACCCATGAGTTTTACTGTTTTTTCCAATTCTTCTCCCCATCCCACCGGGGCAGGGGGGAGGAGTGAGTGAGCGAGTGGCTGCATGGTACTGTAGTTGCTGGCTGAGGTTAAACCATGACAGACATAAGCAGGTCAGCTGAGGCCATACAGAGCATTTGTGCTGCTCTTCCAACCATGGGTTTACCATTTACTGCTTTCAATAAACAGTGCAGGCTCTGGGATCTGCTCTTTAATGCAAAAAGTTTGTGTCTTATTTTCAGAGTAGGCTCTGGCACTCCTCCAGCTGGTGTCTGTGAATGCAGAAGAGTGTCGGTAACTACCACCATCATAACCCTGTCTGCTGCAACTTCTTTTTAAGTCTTTGTTGCTCTGCCAAGTCTTGGGACACTGTAGATCCAGAAGAAACAAATAGACCTAGTACACTTGACTCCTAAGTTTCTCTTAGACACTGAGGTTCCTCCTGCATTGTATACAGGCATTCCTAAGTTTCTCTTAGACACTGAGGTTCCTCCTGCATTGTATACAGGCATATGTTGTATGTGTATATATACATGTGTGTAACACATGATGTTGTGGTGGTAGTGATTAAGTAGTGTTTTAAGTGGACACAGATCATGTTAATTGTGTTCAGCTCTGCTATGATCTGATGATGAGCCCATGCTGAGCTCTGGAATATGGTAAGATTTTTTTTGAATAATTCCTTCTGTAAGTGTTAGAAATGCTTTCAGAATGACAGACATATCTTGGTAATTTGCTTTTGAGTATGTGTTTAGTACTCTACTTGTTGCTGCAGAGCAATGCTACCCACATAGTGAAATCATATCTAATTGTTATGGACATGAAGCTAAGATGTTGCTGGACACATTATGTGCCAGCATTCCTAAATAGTGATGGTAACTGTGCAGAACCACCATTTTATTTTTGTTTACTGAAAACAAATGTAAATTTTCAGTCTGATTTAGTAGCAGAACTGTGGTGAATCAGCTGCTGGAAATCAGAATAGGTTTGGAATCTCCCTCTGTGTGACAGATGGCTTTCACTTGTTTCTTCTATAGTAAATTCCAAACAAAATAGCCATTTATGCAAGGGTAGTTTGCTTTACTGCATAATTGACCTGTTGTTAACCTGCTTGTGTCTTTGAAGAAGAAATATACAGCAGAACTATTTGTGTGTATTGGCCAGTGTTTCTAAATCAATAAGCAGAGTTGTTTTTTGCAACATCTAGTGAAGAAGTTTAATTCTTAACTTTAAATCTGGTTCTAAATCAATTGCTAGAGCAATTTGCAGTAATGGATGCAGATAGTCCTTGTTTCTCCTCCCATGTCCTACCCTGCTTTTTAAAATACCATATCTGATTAGCATCTAGATTGTTGGACAGATTGATTTCACTAAAAATGAATGTTAACGGATATCCTTTTACTATGCCAGTGTACCTTGCTGCATAATGGTTTTCAGTTCTTTCTAAGAACCACAGTTACATAGGATAGGTATTCCAAACACGTAAGTACCATAATGCCTCATTTGAGATCTCAATTCATTGGTGACACACCCCTGCCACCAAAGCAGTCTTTCCAGAGCTGTGTTTGTGGTGGACCTGGTACAAGATGTTAGAGCTGTACTGTGGCTGTGACTCTTTTCATGGGTTACACTCCTCTTTCAGTTAATCTCAAACCTAAGTGAGTTACCTTCCATAAGGAGGTAAGGATTGTCTTTTCTGGAATGAGTCAAACAGGAAAAAACACTGCCCATCAGCAGTGCCTGGGTAGGAGCACACAGGCAGTTGTTCAGAACTGATAGGAGGGAATCCCTGCCAGCCTGAAGGAAGGGCCTCTTCTCACATTGGAGGTGTCCATTTCCTTTTACTGTGGTCAAAATAATCTATCTTGCAGAAAGAATAAAGCTAAGAATGTGTTCCTAGTTGAATGCTTAGTAGATTTAAATCGTTTATGGGGATGGGGAGGGTAGGCTTTTGTATCTGAAAAGCTGCTTTCCTCGGAAGTTCTGACGTGTAACTTAGCGTACTGTTAGGACTTAGAATCAAACCAGAGTAACACGTGCAAAGCCATGTTGAAGTTCCTGTCTTTTTGAGAAGAGTAGATAATAGATTGCAGAAGATGTCCCTGGCTGGACATGATAAGCAGTAGAGCTAACATCTTCCTGAGTTGCTCTCAGAAGGCATATGACTTGCTGTAACTGAACCTTCGTAAGTCTCTCCTCTCCTCCTCTTGCCCTTCACCTCCTGTCCGTCCCACTCAAAAAAGTTCCCAAACATTAGGAGCTAAAGGATGATCAAAGGAATGTAGAACAGTGTCAAATATTTTGTCCCCTGAACAATCTACAGGAATGTGAACATTTCTATGCTTAGTGTTTTCTCCCTGCTAAAAGGACACCTTCTTTATCTTCCGAATGGCAGATAACTCCATGTATATATGTGTTTCTGTCTTTGAGATAAGTCTGTGTTGACCTCATGAGGCTTTACTTCTGCATTTGGTTCCTGGATTACTATGGCATGTCAATAATAATGGAATTTTATTTTATGCTGATTCTAGGAAATGACTAATTTTTTGGTGGTCAGCACTGAATTGTCAGTTTTTATGAAAGTTTTACACAGACTAAAACTTAAAATGATGTAGTTATGGTGGTCAATACATTCCTTGATTTTGATGTGAATGTTACAGTATTGTCACTTTTTTGTTTTCTAGGATGATCTTGCAAAAGGAAGGTCCTCGTTCTCTGTTTAGAGGGCTGGGTCCTAATTTAGTAGGCGTTGCTCCTTCCAGGTAAATACAAATGTGTACAGTAAATGAAATTAATCTTGATGAAACTTAGGTTGCTGTACATTATTTTGGGGTTTTAAAGTTTATTTGAAGCAAGTTTTGCATCTGTGATTGTAAATACTTAATAGCAAATAATCTTTGGTTCCTGGGGTAATTTTGTTCTCTGAGAAACTGAGCCGCTCATGTACTCTCCTCAGCTCTAGTCCCACATCCCTGCACCAGTTGTCTCAGTGTTCACTATCCTTTATGCTAGTACAATAGTATTTACTATCAGGTACTGTCCCTTATGCAGAGTTTTGTCTAGTTAAGAAGGAAAATGCTTAAGGAATTGTAAACAAGAACTTAGTGCCTTTGAAAATACAGAGGTAGACTTAGGTTTCAGTCAATCCGTCATCTTCAGGAAGCAATTGTGTGACTGGAGCTTCAAAACACTGGGTCTTTCGTCCTGAATCCTGGTGAAACACGGACTACTGTCCCCCTGTAGCAGGAAGCCTGTCCTGAAACTTCAAAAAGTGCAAGGCTGTGTAGGATAACACACTTAACAGCTGTCCCAGAGAAAGCAGATCCAGCAGTGGGCTGGACTCCACAGGGTACTGGAGCAGTGTCAGAGAGTGCAGTGGACGAGGATGTAAATCTGATCTAATGGGCAGAGGTGGTGTTGCTGTGAGTTGCTCTGCGTCAACACAAATACTCTAGCTACTCGGCTGGTGCTGGTAGTCAGAGCGAGGTGCGGATCATGCCAGAGTTTGAATTGATCCTTAAATTCAAGTGTTAGCCTAAATTCAGTCCAAAAATAGAATAATACCTGGGGAACAGTATGGAAACAAAGCTGTGTAAAACTAATATAACTACTTCATCCTGGAAGAGGCTATAGTTGTGTTCTGGCCCATTTTTATTCCCTTCTGTTCTATTTAAAAGAAGAGTCTTTATGCAGAGGAAATATATTTCACAAAGGTTTTATTCTTCCCTTGATTTAGTGCTCTGCTTTTGTTGGTTTGTTTTTTATTTTTTGTTCTGAAGATAAGACGTTCCTGTCTCCTGCATACCCAGTTGAGAGTATCTTAATTTTTCTGTTTTAAAGTCTTTCGATGCTTCTGGAAAATTTTATTAAACTGGACTTTCCATTCGGGATTGATCGGTCTTCTACTTAGATCTGACAGATGAGGTGGTGTTCTGTACATCCACTGCATGAATAAAGGGAAAAACATAATTCATGAATTGGAGTACTTCTAGTTTAGCAGATTTTTTTAAGGAATTAGGAATACCAGGGGTATTTTCTGATCACTAACTTAGCATTGCTGTTTGAAGAAGCTGAAGTAATTCCAGTAGCTTTCTTTGTTCTTGACACCTGTGGGGTATCAGCACTTCTTAATCCGAAGAGCCTGTACTTTTGTTTGATAGTCCAGTCTGGTCTGAATGTTCAACATTGATACTACTTTAACAGCAATTTTTATACAGCAATGTGACTGTCCTGATGAAAAATATCCTCAATTGCCCCAAAAAATTTCTTTTCAGTTAACTTTATATTAAATCTTCTAATTCCCTTCCCTTCTTCCCCCAAGTGAAATAACTAGCTTGTTCTGCACCCCCACGCCCACCCAAAAAATCAATTTGATATAATGTCTGAAATCTTACAAATAAGCACATCCTCATTCCCCTCTGGCTGACTCTGTCTTCATCCAGTACTTTGTTTCAATTAAGCATTAGCTAGGAGGATTTAACAGCAGCTCTTTGTTTAAATAAGCTCTAGAGAAGCACGTTTCATAACACATCCAGTATACTTAACTGAGTTCAGATTCCATTTTAGAAATTACACCCATGAAGCAAGCACTTTATCTTTTTTATAATAAAGAAAAACATATTTGCACAGCTAATGTCGTTAATGTTCTGTTCATGAAAACTTGCACGTTCATTTTTTCTCTTGTAGAGGGGTGTCTGAGTTTAAAAAAAAAAAATCACCTTAGTTACAACCTTTAATGTATGTTTTAGTTGTGCTTAAAATAAGTTTTGTAGCTTTAATGAGTGAAAACAAGCATTTTTTGTAATATATTGCATTGACATGCCGACTTGTATGTCTAGCTTTGTTTTGATATCATCTCACAAGCTTATACATTTTTTTGTAGTGTATTCAGAGAAAAAAAATCTGTCTATTCTAAGTACAGAACTAAAGAAACAAAATGTGGATCCCAGCTTCACAGCTGTTCTAGCATTTAAAATATAAATATTTACAACCACAAGTTAAAGTATAACCACAAGTTGCCAATATTTACATCTTAAATGCTAGAATACTATTATAAATACAAGGTGTGGTGTTTGGGTTTTTTTTTTAAAAGGTACATACTTTCTAGTTTTCTTGAAATTGTAATGCTATTGAAATGAGTTTAGGTACATTAGAACAAATTTGATCTGTTAGTAAAGAAATACAGAATACTGTAACTTCAATTCTCAGTTCAGCGGTGTTTTGCTTCCCTGGCTAAACTTCCTACTGTCACAAAAATCACTGTCTTATTTCTAATTATCTATCTTTCCTCTCACTAATTGTTAGTTGGAGGTGTTGAAAAGTTGTAAAGTATGACTTTTTTTTTTCCTTTTCCATTCTTAGAATAGTCCCACTACATTGCAAGAGTTATTCCTTGCGTATTTTTTTTACTGAGGACATAAGGCTTGAACCAAGATCATCTTGAGTTAGTGAAGTTGATGGCACTGCTTGTAAGGGTATCAACAGATAAAATCTAACATGACTTGGATTTTGTTCTATTTTTAGAGCGATATATTTTGCTGCTTATTCAAACTGCAAGGAAAAGTTGAACAATATTTTCAATCCAGATTCTACCCAGGTACATATGATTTCAGCTGGTGTGGCAGGTAAGGATCTAACTTTTTAGCTTCATTCTCAAGTCATCCACAAATGAGAAGTGGCAATAAATGTGGGAAAAATAAAAGAGAAAATGTTCAGTAGTTGAATGATGTCTTTTTGTAGTTGTTGCCTTCTTTGGGCTCTCATTAAACAAGCTATCTGGAAAATATGTGCATGAAACTTTGCACTTAGAGTTAATGAAGATCTTTAACTGTGTGTGTGTGAATAGTCTTTTTCTAGGAAAACTTGCATGCCTGCTTTTTCAACTGTAAATTTGTGAAATGTAAAATGAAAACTTTCAAAATAGTAACTTTTCTCTCTGCAAGCTACAAACAACATTGTTTGCACTGAACTCTGATTTAATGCTTGTTAATCTGTTTTTTTTCCCATCACTTTCTGTTACAACTATATATCTGACTTATTTTCATCTTTCTGAAATATGCCTGTAGATATTTGTATAAATTACATGTAATGCACCCTCCTCCTTTGTTGAAATACCAATCTGTGTGAAGTTTGCTCTACCGCTAAAGTGACATAGAAGAGCGGATTTCCATGACTTTCATATATTTTTCATCTGTGGAAATAAATTCCTATTTTGCATCTGCAGTGCAATTTTGGTATATTTTAGCAGCTACCAATATTTGTTGCTTGATTTGTATGTTCTATGCTTTGGGATCATTAACAAAGGGAGTTAAGGGCCACTGAGCTTAGTTGTGGTTATGGACTTGTGCTGGGGAAGTCAAAACTTGGGCTGGCAACACTTTACCTGTTGTTGCCTGTGTTGTCTTTCCTACACAAAAACAAAATTTCAAAAGTTGTTTTTTCTGTGTCGGCCATAGACACTTCACAGATGAATTCTGAAAATTTTATGGTAGCCTGTTGAAGTTTCTAATTCCTGTCAAATTTTACAACCAGTGTATATAATGTGAGTACTAGCAATCTGGAATGGACTGCCAAAGGTGATGTCAGAATAATGGCTAGGATTATTTTTCTATTTAATACTTCCTAATAATCTGATACAAATAAATTGTTATATAGCATAGAAAATTTAAGTGACTTTAGCTTTATACTTAAATAACACGCTAATGCTCATCTCTAGCACATGAGAAATGCGATGGCAGTTTTTAGTTGTCTTGGACATGTAAGGAGAACCATTTTGTCTTAAATGAGCAAAATAAGGTGCAAAATAAGGTGCTCGGATGATGCTGTATTTTTTTATCACCTGGAAATGTGTATTTTGTTTGTAGGTGAACAGCACGGGGAATGGGATGGAAGGGAGTTTCATGAAAAGTTCATCCTAATCAGTTAACCGCTCCAAGAAAAATTAATTGTCTTCAGCTCTTTGTTGAGGGGATAAAACATGTCTTTAAAATCAGGGGTGCCAGGGGTTGAGGGGAGAGTATGGGTGATAGAAACAAGTCTATCCTCAATTGAAGACAACATGTGTAACTCATGCAGTGCTGCAGACGAACGAAGGTTCAGAGTATTCCTTATCTTTGGAAGTTGCTGCCCTCATTCTGTAATGAAAAGAACATTTATGGAGATGTGCTGTAGTGATTTTTCCCAAGTGCTTGCAGACACAGACTGTAGTTTGTGAAGGAGTTCTGTATCTGCTTATTAACTTCACTTCCAGAAGGCTGGTATTAAGCATTTGTACTTATGACTGCAGGAGACTGGGGTAAATGTATTTGAGTCTTAATTGCTGTTTGCCTTTTTTACATTTGTACACAAGTTTTAATATTGAACAACTTCTGTGGCTGTTAACTTTCTCACACTTACCTGGTTCTGCAGTTGTATTTCTAAACCATATAGCCAATGAAACCAAGCTCCTAGTGCAGGTTCACACTGCAGGTCACAACTTTCTTTCTGTCCTGAAATGTCTGGGCATGCTAGAGACATTCTCAGGAAGACCTTTAAAAGAAGGTACTTTGATAAACAATTTCTTGATACTCAGTACTGGTGGTATTCTGATTTATATGAAAAGGACTGTAGTTAAAATTAACAGTGCTTTCTTGGGAACGTGCTAACCTTGTTTTTGTAATTCTAATATATTTCAGAAAATGCACTTAAACCAGCTATTAACAGTTTTGCCTGCAAGGTTTGTATTGCTATATGATGCAAATCAACTTAAGGAAATGGCAAAATAACAGGGACAAGATCGAATGTGAACTCTTAATTTGTTGACTTAAACAGGTTAACACAGAAAATCACCATGCTATTTGCTTTGGAACTTAAGATTTCAAAATTGGCAAGGTGGATGAACACTTCTAATAATTAGCAAAAAATAATCAGTATTGGTTTTTTCTTTTGCAGCTGCCATTGGTTTCAGTAAGGAATTGAGAAACCCAGTCTTAAATGAAAGGGGGGTTTTTGTTTGTTTGGATATGACCTTTCTGTTACATAAAGGCTTCTAATACCTGATGTGCATGAGGTGGTGTTTGCACTTAAAAAGCTTTTCCTGTAGGTTGCAAAATACAATAATGATGCAAAAAAACAATTAAAACTCTGTAACTTACTGTTTTATGAAAGTACTGTAAGTAATGAACTTTCGTCAACTTCACGTACTGTTTACTTGTATCATATGTTAATACATAAGTATCTCAGGCTAGACTGATGTCACTGTTAAAGATTTTATGCACATAGCATTTTGGGGAGTGAGCAGCTGAGGTATGGTATTTTAAGCGTTTTTGTTTGGTTTTAGGCCTGATTCTTCCTTCTCAAGATAAAACATATATTTGGGGGTTTATTAAGATTCTTTTAGTAAGTTTGTTTTATCCCAAGGAGGATGAATCATGCCAGATATTAGTAACTGATGCCTTATGCAATTAGAAATTAATGTTTTTTCCCTTGCTGTGTGTTAGCTTCCAGCATATAGTTCACTTCACCTTCATACCTAGAATATCTTTGTATTGACATGAAGAAGTACTCGGCAACATTTTTTGCTTACTACTTGGCAGATCACATGGGTCTCTTTTTGCAAACTTGGACAGTGAATATATCTGAAGCATACTACAAGAATGAGAGCGTTTGCTTGCATGAAGATAGGTTATCTCTGTACATTTCAAAGTTAGGCTAAATTCTCAGCTTCAGTATAAACTCTGCCTTCTCACTGCACTCGCTCCACCTCTTTTGCCACAGAGAATAAAAACTGTAAAGACTGGAATGAGATACTTGATTCCTGTATGGCTTTCTGATTTGCCTTTTTAATGATTCATAGCCTCATGCAGACAACATGGTTGCAAATCTGCTGTAAAACTACTTTGACTTGTATACTGTTGCTTTCTTTCTAGAACTGTCATGGCAAACCAACTCAAATGTAGATTTTTTTATTTATTAAAAAAAAATTGGAACCACTTTACTTAAAGAGATACTATACCTTTGTAACTTTTTAGTAGTATGTACACAGTTGCTTAATACCAAATAGAAAGCATATTTAGTTCATCAATTACTGATATTAGAGGGTTTGATTTCATAAGGCATCTATCTTGCTTTTTCAGTCCTAAGGCAAGGCTAGCTTTTATAAATGGATACTTGGGAGGGAGTGGGGAAGGAGGAGGGTTCACATGTAAATTTGATATATAGGTAAGTATTTGGAGATATAAAATTGAACTGCTGCAAATGAGCAGAAATTTCAGTACTCAGTGCATTTTACACAACTATTTTAATATCTGTGGCCTGTTCTGATTATTTTTCTTTCTTTTTTTTCCTAAACTTTTACCTGAAAACAGTTAGATCTCACAATAACTAATTCACAAATCCTTCCAATGGGATTCGATTTGTACACATGTGTCTGATGAGGTCACTGCTTGTTGTTATGATACAGAAAAGCCTGTGTCTATTTTAGGCATTTACTGTACATTTCTCCCGTGAAAAGAGTGAGATCGTGTCATCTCATGCTCCCCATCCGCAGGTCACTTCCTGCAGAAATATGGACTAACTTAAACCTCGTGAGTACTGAACTGAGCGTCTCTTGCAGCCTCTAGTGTAAGAACCACACATTGGGTTTGTAATATCTATTAAATAAACAAAGTAAGGGGAATTCACTTTCATTATCTTGAACTCGGATGATGTGCATAGTGCAAAGACATCACTTCTTAACTCTGTTAAGAGTTATTTTTGTCTGTGCAGTTCAGGGAAAGGTGGAAGATACCTTTCACTGATAGCTGCTACTTTACTTAGCTCTGGCTAATTCAAAGTCCCTACTGGGTTAAACAAGGCCTTTTGGTTTTTTTCAGTGTCCCAGAGCTGCCTTTAAAATGCTGCAGCTGATATTCTGTGTTGTCACATTATTTAAAAGACCTCTTTTCTTTTTCTTTTTTTAATATGTATATAATCTCCTTTCTGTCTCTTTTCTGTTTTCTCTTTTGGTTTGTTTTTATTTTACTACTTTGGATTTTTAATTCAGCATTCCATATTCACATGCGTCTGTATCAATTACATTGGCTTATAGATTAAAAAAAAATACACCCTAACCTTTGAAATATGATGAATAATAGGAATACCTGGGATCTTACCTGTCAGTAGCTGGAATAACTGAAAAAGTTAGATTGAGATAATTCTTTCCATCTGAAACTGGGATACAATTTCATAGAAGAAAATAAAGCATAGAAAAGTACAGGAGTTTCTAGCATTGCCAAATTGTTCTATACTTGTAATGAACCTGGAATCTTTCTTGAGGATACAACATGTTGATAAGCATTGTAAAGCATTATGAAGTTCACTGAGACTTTTAAAAAGAAAAAAAGGAAACAATTGATAGAGCTTCACAGTAGTTGTTGAAAGCCCCCCACCTCTATTTTTTAACAAATACTTTTGCTAAAGATTTTTCTCTATTTAAAAAGAAAAGCTTATCTTATCAAACATCCCAAATGGTACATTTCACGTTTGGAGTGCTTTCCTTAGTGTCAGCATCACTCAACTCTTAATTTATTTTCTTCTTCCACTAACTGTATTTACTACATTACCTGTAAGAATTGAGCTGCAGTTGTTTCATCTTGAAACCTGAATTATTGAAGGCTCTTCGATTTGAAAACTTTGGTTTGAATTGTTATGCAATTTAGGCTTATGAGAGCCCTAAGAAAAAAATTGGCTATGTTGCTAGGTGTCTGATCCTACTGTTAGGGGTGCTGTGCTTAAATAATGTTTAGAGCAACCCAGGGAGTGCAAGTTCAGACAGAACAGGCCATGTCCTGTGCCAACCACCCTTCCCTGGCAATTTCCAATATATTCTTCCCAGCCTGCCTAGAAGTATCGGGCTGCTGCTGCGGGTGAATGCAGTCACTACTGCCACTCAGACACTGCCTCTGATTTCACCTATGTGTTTCCTGCTCCAGATTTAGAATCTACAGAGACTGTTTTTGGGGGTTGAATAGGAAGGAGAAAGGGCTGAGCAGATAATGCTGTAACGTAAAGTCTAGCAGTAACAAAATTCCAAAGCATACAACTTAAATGGGAATGCAAAAGAATCTTTTGGTCTTGTTCAGTCGTACTTACGAACTGATTTTGGTTTTTACAGAGAAGTCTTTCCTGGAAAATGTCTTAGTAGAGAAAGTTAATAATGTTTCCCCACCTTATTTCAAAGCCTTTGTTACAGTCCTGTGCATTCCTAGTGCCCTTCACTGCACTATAGATATGGAAAGATTCTGATTTGAAGTAAAAGAAAATTCAAGCTTTCTTAGTGCTAGTATAAAGAAATGAAAAATGCAAGAGCAGTGTTACCTTTCAGTTTAGTTCAACCCAGGGTCAAGTGCTGTTGGAATCAGTGGAGTTTCTATGGCAGTAAGTGACCAGTCGGAAGGGCTCTGGGTAGTTGAACTGCAGAACCTTTTTTGCAGATGTATTATGTTTTAAAAACATCCCATGCCTTGTTATGGCAGAGTAGTTCCCTGATGCTTTGAGTTTTTACATAATTATTTACCTACATGAAATGCAGGTGTAAAACACTTTTGGCTTGTCAGGATTTCACTGTTGTATGAAGAGTTATATATGTATCTAGCCATAGGAAAAAAAAGTAGTGTATCCAAAAAAAAGACAACCCCCAAACCTTTATTATCTACCACAGGAAGTTAGTTAGTTAAGAGGTTTGATTTGGTTTAAAAATGTATTTAATCAAAAGATTAAGCTGAAATCTTTAAAGTGGTTTTGCTATTTTGGCATAGAAATATAGCTAAATCTTAGTAGCTGCTAAACCTTGTAGTTTGTCTTTAGAACTGTAACTGAAAATCATCATGACCTATTTAAAATTTGGGGATGAGGGTAGAACAAACCTTAGAACAGTTAAGATCCCCTGGCATTTCTCCAAGTATTGCAGTCATTTGTGTGCAATGTAAACCTAGATTGTGATTGAACAGAAGTAACATGTAGGCAAGCAGTTCTGCTAAATTATATATATAAGCTGTTAATGATCTCCATAAACAAGCTTATCAATAGCCTATTTGTCGTGTAAGTATTGTGCTCCAGATACGCACTGAACAAGGTAACTCTTTGCTTTCCCACAACCCCAGTCCATTCCCTTGCAGGAGGGCAGCATGTCTTTGTAGTGATACACAAGTGATGTGTGTCACTTAGAAAGCAAGTGTCTAAATTTATCATCTCTTGCCTGGCCATGTTCCAGCTCTTCCCTTTTCCTCTTCTCTCCTGCAGACATGACACCTCATTAATGGTGCATGTGTGATATTACAACTCTAGACAGTTTTTTATTTTCCTTTTTTTCAGAGCTGCCTTTCACTCTGCTCTTTCTCTCCACGGTTCTGCAGAAGTAAGAGTGATTCTTACTTCTTGTATTTATTTTTTTTCTGTTAAATTTGTTTCCTTTTTTTCTTTTTCTTCCTTTTCTTTTTCTTTAGTGAACTGAAAATCAAAGCTTTGACCCCTAGCCCTTATGCAAGCCTGAATAGTTGCTCTCTGTTTGGATACTTAGAAGTCATACTCTTTACTTTAACAATTTAAACACTCATATGCTTGTAAAAGTATTCCTAGGCCAACCAACTATCTTTGCTTTGAATACTAAATAAAACATTAGCACTCAAATTTAACTGCTCTTTATAGTTCAGTATTAAAAGGTCTCTTAACTTACAGTAATACATGCCTTTTAACTGCACCAAAAGTAGTATTTATTCAGTCTGCATGCTTTTAAACTCGGATTGTATTTCAGGTAGCAAATTAAATTGACACAATGTTTTATAGCATCTTAAATTGCTATAGCCATATCTGCAATGCATTCTTACTGACATGTTTGTCAAATTGGCTAATAGTAGTCTAGCTAGCTTTGCTGTTCTATGGTGTCATAACAGGGTTGATATGATTAGATAGGCAGAGAAATGTACACAATTGGGCTTATTTTATATGGGGCATCTCTTGCTAAGAATCAAACTTACTCAATATTAATGTGAAATTAAAAAATAAGCTAAATGTATATTGGCTGTATGGATTCATAAAATATCAGGAAAGGGCTACAATAGGTACTTTCCAAAAATCAGTATAGTCCGAGTTTTTGCATCCACTGTACCTTACTCTGTGTGTTTCGAACTTAGATGCAGTTCCTCTTGTGATACTATCACATCTAACTTTTCTTTTTAAATATTTTAGGTTTTACTGCGATCACAACAACTAATCCCATTTGGCTAGTAAAGACACGATTACAGCTTGATGCGAGGTATGGTGACAATGGGAAGTCTCACTGCTGCGATAACATTTTGCTTAAGTGTTGTGAATCTGTTCTGCATTCCAAACTGGAATGGTTCTTTAAATACCCAACACTTCGAATCCAAAAAGTTGATGCTCATCTATCTACAAGTTACACTATCATTTTTCTCTGTCTTAACCTCTGTGTTCTGAGACATGCTTGAGGCACTATGGAAGACTGGCCAGCAGATTTGGAATGAATGACAACGTTAACAGTCTCATTAAAGTAATGTTCTACCAACCATATGCTTGCATTTTCTTTCAGTAATACATTGTCTTTGTTTTTAGCTGTTGAGCTACACATTCCTGAAATAAAGATTTAAGTATTTTAGCAAAAGTTTAGAAAAATGCTTGAAACATCCTGGTTTTCATTTTTTTACATAGAATGAGCTCTAGCCTATAAAAAGGGGAAAACTGCTTTCAGGGATTGAAACACAGGAGTTATCCTAATGCAGGATAGTCAACAGAAGTTATTTGGACTTATTACAGAAACTGTTTATTATGAAACTTGTAATGAAGTAGAATTTTGTGCAAATAGGGAGGAAGAAAGACCTTTATATTCCCATATATTTAAAACTGCAGGGAGAGACTGATATGATGCAAGTGTCTCAATGCAATTGTCTTGTTCAATTTGTAGACTTTCTTAGTGAAAACTTAGCATGCAATATAAAATTCTTTTGTCAGTCATCCTAAATACATAAATGACCCAGGTATTCCTATTTTGGAGATCTGTTGGATTTTCTGTATTAAGTGCCAATTAGCATTTTTTCTCTTAGCAGGCATATTGTCAGCTTCAAGGTGACCATAGTAAATATAGCCGAGAGCTAGTTTTTACAGTGAGATATTTTTTGTGTGTGATGCCATCGTATGACTGGGGTGGTAATTCCACGACTAATTCCAAGGGGGTTTTGGTGCTATGTGCAACCTGATGTCATCTTGTGCCTCTGCTTGTTTTTTACTGATTAATCAGTTGAATTGCTTAAACTGTAGGGCTTTAAGGAAAGTAGGGAAATTTATGGATTTCTTGTGCACATTGTTTCTGTACATTATAGCAAGTACATTGTTCATGTGAGAGACCTGAAGAAGGATCTTGTAACTGTGTAGGACACTGCAATTACATGGGCTAGTCTAGCACATACTGCATTCTCAGCTCTCCTAATTCAGTTGCTATTAGAGGCATAAAAACACTTGGCCTGTAGGATTATCCTGGCCTGGTTGTGTTTCTGTTGAAGGTCTCAAAAATCCCTCTGATCCTGGTAAGAGCTGGAGAAGGTGTGTGCTTTGTTTCCAACCTGAAATTGCTTTGGTCTTCAAGACAATGTTGTGCATCTCGCACGTCAGAAGAACAAGCTCTTAGAGCAGTCTGTGTCAGTGCACGTGTCCAGGTGTACCAGGGATGTATGGGGACTGGGGTGTCCCTGGAGTTGCAGCTGTATGTCCAGCTGCTCTTCTCGCCAGTTTTCTTTGACTCTTTTATCTTGCCTGTCAGCAAATCAGTGCTAGCCCCCCAGTTCCCTGCAACACCTGCCACCTAGCTTACTCAAGATCTGATTTGCAGCTATGTGTGCCCACTCTTTCTCTTACTTGTGTACCTTGTTTCATTGCTGTCTGACATTGCAGGTTCAAACCATCAGGACTTAAATTCTGCCATCGAGTGATGCCTTGTACTACTTAGATAATAGCTGCTACCACTGTCTGTCTTGCTTTGACAGTATCCATAGGAGTTGCCAGAGCTCCTTATGAGGTTATTTGCTGTTTTATTCTGTCTTGCTCACTCAGGAGACCTCTGCTGACAGAATCCATATGCTTTAAGTGCCTGCACTCACTGCTGCAATGAAGCATACTTTTATGCAGTGTTGTAATAGCTTTGCATAGCTGCATACAGCATGCTAAGTATTTCAATATGCATGACTCAATCCACTAAGCAAGCTAAAAATGAGAATAATATTTTATTTACCAAATATTGCTTGATACTGTCATGACAAATGAGCGTTTTCACTGACATCAGCAGTGGCTTAGTTGAATCAAATAATAGCTACCTGTGTCGTATTGGTTGGTATGCTCCCTTTGGACAAGCTAGTTGTTTGCTGATAGCTGTGATGCTTGTGAGGCCTGCTGTTTGACCTCTTAACCACTGTAATTACCATTCTTTGGAGCTGTTTGAGGCAAAATTTAGGGGAAATCTAGTCTTATTATGCTGAAGAAAATGTTGGGGTTTTTTTTGAGTCACTGGCATTGACAATTCATTTGGGAGTCTGTTTTCAAGCAATTTAGTCCTTTATTCCATAAGACTTGGAGAGGCCTAGAGCTGTTCAACTTGTCTATATGATACTTCTTTTTTAGTCACCACATGAAGTTTGGCTTGGATTCAGTATAATGCTTTACCTGTGTTCAGTGCTGAAGGCCTCCAAGGCTTTCACATCAAGTTCTGTATGTTCTTAAATGCATCTGAATTGGAGCCCCTCAGCATCAGTGTGAGATGTTTCCTATGTCCTCTTGTCACTCAAGCAAAAGTGTTTAATTATTTTCCAGTCTCAAGTTGCACCAGCTTGATGTCTGTCTTGTTCTCTCCTTTTTAGGAATCGTGGAGAAAAGCGAATGAGTGCTTTTGAATGTGTCCGAAAAGTTTATCGATCAGATGGTATTAAAGGCTTTTACAGAGGAATGTCGGCATCCTACGCAGGCATATCTGAGACTGTTATTCATTTTGTTATTTATGAGAGTATTAAGAGAAAACTTCTGGAGTATAAGACTGCTTCTGTCATGGACAATGAGGATGAATTGGCAAAAGAAGCTTCGGACTTTGTTGGAATGATGATGGCTGCTGCCACTTCCAAAACTTGTGCAACATCAATAGCATATCCTCATGGTAAGTGGGGCAAGTACAGCTGAAAACCTGAATCAAATTGATCAAAGGGAGTCTTTTCAGTGATATTTCACTTGCTCAAGAACTATTTCTTTGTCTAAAGCTTTTCACGTCAGATTCAGCGAGTCAACATGAGTATAGTATTCAGAAATGGAAGTATTTTTAAGTGGATATCTAGCATGGCCTCTTCTTAGGCAATGTTTATTTTTCCAGAGTATTTGCCAGGATATGGCTGAAAAAACGTAAGGAGAAGATCCTTTTTCACTTGGGCTTTCTCTATGTACTCAGCAATTTCACATGATTTTCCAGCAAGTTCTTGTCCCCTTCTAGGAAAACAGACTGTCTAGTTTGGTTTTCAGTTGCACTTAATTTTCCTGCAAAGTAGTTGTGTATACATTAAGTTTGTTAATGGGTTGAGTACTTCACTGGTTGCAACTTCCAAACTAAAACAAAAGCCCAAACAACAGTCCTCTTCTGCATTTTAACTACGCAAATGAACTTCCCTTCCTTAGATATCTGATACTGCCAAAAATTTTAACTTGTATTCATCTTACTTGGTTTGCTTCTGTTTGTCTTTCTCCTCCTTTTTTAAAGAGTTCCTCTGAGTTTAAGAACTTGGGGAGAGTGAGAAGTTGCATTTTAATGTAAAATCACTGATTGGCTTCTGGGAAAGATAATGAAATGTGCTGAATGTAACCATATGTGGTTTTCTTTGTACAGAGGTTGTACGAACGAGACTAAGAGAAGAGGGAACAAAATACAGATCTTTCTTCCAGACACTATCTTTGCTCGTGCGAGAAGAAGGATATGGATCCCTCTACCGAGGTTTAACTACACATCTGATCAGACAGATTCCAAACACTGCTATCATGATGTCAACCTATGAAGTGGTAGTCTACTTGCTCGATGGATAGCAGCATGACGAGGCTTCCTAGAAGAAGGTGGAAGATTGACAGACTGGAGTGGACCGCTGAATGTCAATGCCAATGTGGTGGGCAAAAGGAGAGTTATATCAGGAACATGCAGATATGGACAAAACAGAAGGTTGATTGTGGGCAACTATTGAATCATTTTGCTGCCTTATTGTATGGTCTCTTGGCAATGTGACCTATGGGAACTGCCCCTTAGGGTATGCCTTTATACAGCTCTTAATTCAAAATTGTTACTTTCTTTTCATCTGTTAATCTAGACAAGGCCATTCAGTCATCTTCAGAGACCTGATGGGTGAGGAAGGGGACGTAAAATATATTCTCGGGCAGCCTTATTCACTTCTGTTAGTAATTGCTCTCAATGACATCCTTTTTGTTCTGTTTGACTGCACAGTTACCTGTTGGAAGAGGGGGGAAGACAGTACTTTCATACCTTTCCATACCTGAAACTTCCATTCAGTTGCTCTGAAGATTCATAAAAAGACTGAGGTAGTAGTCAGCATGTAAAGTTTTCTGTGTTGCTACCTCAAGACAAAATGCGGTGCAGGGACCCAGAACAGAGTTATTTCTTCACTACAAAAGGTGATACTTGGGGGTTTCGTTTTGGGTTTTTTTTTTTGAAGTTTGAGCAGTGCTGTAGGTTAGTGAGAGAGGATCTGATTGTTGAACTCTTCAGGTTATCAGTCTGTTCATATTGGTGTATGTGGCTTTCTAGTTCTGCTGCATCATCCTTTTTCTTTTCTGGAACTTTCCTTCCTTAAGTAAGGGAGACCTATGAAATGTTCTCCTATATCATCAGTTTTCTTTGCCAACCTGTCAGGTCACTCACACAGCTAAGGAAGAACTTGCTGAATGCTACTTTATAGCCTTTTTAAGGATTCTTCATGTGGTGAGAAATCTCAACTAGTTCAGTCTACCATTTGTGAAGACAGGATTCACTCAAGTAGTTTCATGCTACCTAGGAACAAGCTGTATTACCCTAAAATGTCTGGCAAATCCTGCCTTGTATTACCAGTATCTATATGGGAGTACAGGGGAAGAACACATATCACATGACTAAGGCAACCAGAAAGCAGTTGAAATTGTGATAGAACTTTTCAGTGCAGACAGCCTCTATGTAGAACGATGGAGAAAATTGTAACTGAGATTTTCTTGTAAGCATTCCTTTTGATAACTGCTGTGTCTCTTCTTCTAACTTGAGCCTGTGTACTGAACTGCAGCTGGCAGTATAACCTCACTCTCCAAATTCTCTGAATATTCAGGCATCGTTTTTGTTCTATATGCCAATTGCAAAACAATGTGTTGCATTCTGCAGTGAGGCTTAGCTAGTTTATTCTGTCATAACTTGCAGGGTTTTCCAAAACCATACAGCTGGAGTGTCAAAATGAGAAACTTAATGTTACAGGAACTTGTACAGCTTTCCAAACAGGTATCTTATCTGCACCTTGAGTACTTCTCAGTCTGCATCCGTGATTCTTATGAGGAAGATGATCATGATAAATTGAGGGCAATAGCTTTCTATATATAAATGCTGCTACACTGATGTGGACAGAACTGTGCTGTCAACTCTTCCAGTGTGGTACTTCAGTACACTTCAACTGTGCATTGTGTGCAATGGCTTTATTTTGTGAATGACTCCTTATGCACTTTGTGGCCTTCTTATGGCTTATGACTTTTCTTTCTCTTACTGGTTATCTGTAGTCAAACTGTGTTGTTAAAAACATGCAGTTTGTTTTTAAACAAAGCATGTGTTTTGATTTCCAGGTAAGCTGTGCAGAATAAAACATTTTATGATGTAGATCCATAGCATCTCTGGTGTGGTAGTTCGGTAGGCTGTAGGTAAAGTCTTGAAACTTACAGAACAATCAGTCTGGGATTTTCTCATTTGGTTTGCTTTATTTTGACCCTTGTCACGTTCTCCACACGGTGTCAAAGTATTTGAGTAATTTCACGTAATATTTCTGTACTAATTGCTCATCCTTCTGAAAGCCACCTATAGTATGTACAGCAATGTTGCAGTGGAGGGTTAGCTGTATTGACTTCATTCTCATTGGAAAATGTTATCTTATGTTTTTAAAGACAGATGGCGTGGTCTGTGATGTGACCAAAGGTGAACTTGATTGTTTTAAAGAAGTGAGGGGAGTGCTTAAATGTGTGTTCTAAAGTGGGCATTTTCTAGTTATCTCTCTAGGAAAAGTCTGGAGTATTCATGACTCTGACCTAAGTCTGACTGTGATGCCATTGTTCAGATAACTAAGTGCAGGAATAGCTATTTACTATAATTTTTGTTCTGTAGGATTACTCTTCAGGCTATCCAGATTATTCAGTTATAGCTAAAATTTAAATAGGCAAAGACAATATTTAGCTTTGGAGTTCATTAATACAATTAATACTTGGATTAGCCTAGGCTTCACGAGAATTACTCTCCTCTGTGTATTGGATATGTTCTCCCTTGGATACATGTTCATCTCCCATTAATTCACTGGGTACCGCGTGTGTGCCTTGTTTGGGTGAGAACAGACCCCCTGGAGTTGATAAGTAGAAAATGTTAACAAGGAAAATTGAACATGAGAGACAACAGCTAAAAATAGACAATCAGCTTATTATTCCACCTTTTTAATGGGTGTTTAAGCAATGTTTTAAACTTCAGGGGTGATCTTCTTTTTGGCTTGCTTTACATAACAAAACATAAACCCAAAGTTTCTTGGGATTTTTTGTTATTTTTAAACTACCAGTATGTACAAAGTTACCTCTGAAATATTTCCCAAAGATCTTTAAATTATTTATATAGTTTTCTTAATATTTATTATAAAAACTCAAAGGGAATAAGAAGATGCTACATTCAGTAATATCTTTAACTACAGAACTGAAAGGAGTGCTTTTAAACTTTCTTGTAACTTAGATGGTCATCTTGATTTATATTTGAATGTAGTGTATTTATGTCACACTCTTCTGTGCTAGAGTCGAAGGTCTTGGGTGTCTGAAGAACTCCCAGTAATTATTTTCCTCATATTTAGCTTGCCTTAGATGAAACTGGTTGTTGCAAGCGGTTAATTTTGACTCGGCAACCTGTTAGATTTGAGAAACCCTGCGAGACTGCGGTTTCCTGAACGAGTCAAAAGATGGCACTGGAGCATGCACTGATCAGAGGGAAAAGGGGCTCCTCTCCAGGGCAGGGCTAGCTCCGTGTGTTACAGTGCACTGGTTCTCACGGAGTGGCTGTGGCCTACTGGGGGGACCTGGCAAGGTGGCACGAGTTTGGAAAGCCATAAAAAATTAGACTTCAGTGAATGCAATCACATTTCTCAGCCCCTCTATTATCCATTTGGTCCCTGTAGAGCCGTGTGGAAACAGGTAAGTTGTGTGTTGCAGAGGGCTGAGCTCAGCCTTCAGACTGACTGATAGATCTGCTGTTTCTGTCTGAATTTCTGATCTGCTAGCCTGTGTTGTTTTAAGTAGGTTTACAGTAAAGATTTGTGGAGTTTTTTTGGCTACTTTAACTGTAATTGAAACATCAACCTGTCCACTTGTATATTGACATTGCACCTGTCTAGTTCCCTATTTACATAATGCACTCCATGTATTTCCTTTCTGATTGAGATGTTTGTTAATGCCAGTTTCTGCTCTTCTGTTTTTGCTCTTATAATGACATTTGTAACATTCATCAGACTGTAGCATTTTAAAAGAATGCTTCCAGAGACAAAAGATCAGAGAGCCTTTATAAATGTTGCTTCCTGTTTAAACTGTTTAAATTCAGAAAACAAGCTGAACACTGAAGTGTGCCTAGGTAAATGTACTACTTTTTTCAGCTTTCTGTTAAGACTCAGTTACGTAAGTTTTCGATTCTTCTATTTAAGAAAGTCTGCCTGCCCTGCATATGTGAATATTAATTATGCCCTCGGAGTCATAGCTAAACACTCACAAATGACAGTTTGAGAATACTTCAGTGCTCATGTGAGGTTTGCTATTATTCTTGCATACATGTAGTTGGCTGTAAACTATATGCATTTACTCTGTATTTATATAGTTAACTTTTTTGTTTGGATTGCTTTAAACTTCAAAGCAAATTAAAATGATGTGCTTCTATTCAAATGTTGCCTTCTGTGCCAGACTGTACACTATTTTTAACCTTTTAATTTTTCTACTATTAATATATACCAGTGCCTGGACAGTTGTGATTAAAAATGAGCAATTCATTAGGAGATCCCAGTGAATCATTTCATTTTGTGTCATTTTGTAGTAGCTGAAAATAATGTATCTGTATTGTGCCTATGATACATTCTTTTTGGAGGGGTTCATGGATGACTTAAACTAGTTGGATGTGTTCTTGCACTTAAATTTGTTACCTCTGCAGAACTGTTATTGTCTGTCAACTGAGATTCAGTAACTAGGAATCAGAAAACTCCTGTCCATTTAAAGTGCTAGCTAGCATGAACCACTGCTGACAAAGGGCAGTAATTCCTTAAAATGTTCAGAGTTAATTGCATGTGCAGTTATAACCAAGTCCTCAAATCAGAAACATTATTGGATATCATTTCTATTAACAGTATGCATTTGATCTGAAGTCTGTCCTCAGAACTTCCTCAGAAATCATTCTGCAAATGTTTACGTAGGTTTTGTTGGTGTTGTATGTTGTGGGTTTCTCCCCGCCCCCCTCAGTGTTTGTTCTGGAACTGAATCCTTTGCAGCCTTTAATGTGGAGCCAGGCTTGATGTCTCTGATTTGATTCTTTCAGCTATTCAGAACTATTTCAAAACTTGCATTAAAACAGCACATCTGTGATAACTTTGGGTTTTCCTTTTCTTTCAGCAGGTGTTAGTGTTCAATTGACCTATCTTGCTCTGCTTCTGAGACTTTCTGGCTTTCAGGTCAGCCAGGCTTAGAAGTGATCAGACTTCTGGAATCAGTACAGGCAACCAGTGTACTTATCCCTGACACATCTGAAATTATGCCTTTAACTGGCATAATGGTAGTTGTCTGTAATTGATCTTTCATTTTACCTGTCTGAAAGAGGCATGTTGGCAGCGCGCAGAGCTCAGGTTAAGTGTTTGGGGATGTTTTGACATTCGTGCTGCTTTGCAACCACTTCTGCTGGAGGGGTTGTATTAAGCTTGCCCTGGAAAAAAAGCATGTGTATAAAATGAAAGTATATTTAAAGTCCTAATCGAGTTATGGCTTGGCATTAATGCAGTAGTGTAGTCTGACATAGATGCAACCTAAAAGCATGTGC